TATTGAACCAGCTGTGTGTCATCACATTGTGCGCAAAAAAAAAAATAAAGCTCTGAAATGAAGCATGCTTTGCAGTTCCCGTATATCTCATTGTTCTTACTGCCTACAGCACAGACCTTGGAGTCCCCAGAACCACCTGTATTTTGCACACCGGGGTTTAAGATCAGAAAGACCAACGGTCACTGCTCCCCACCTGCCCAAGGCAATGGTGACCCAGAGTCCCCCGGTCACCCTGGAAACCTGCCTACCACACCTGAGGTCCCAGCGTTTCAAACCCCATACGTGAACCGACTGGTCAGCACCAAAAAGGTACAAAGGACGAGTGTGTGAGGAACATTTCAATGATAATAATTCATTTCTTTATTTCCTCATCTACAAAACCTTTCAGCTCAGAGTTTCTGCTTGTGTTCACAGAGTGCTGTGCAGCCCGAGCTTGTCAACATGCAGGCTGATGATGACAACCACACCTTTGAGCTTCCAACACCTCGTAACGGAGCGACCGGCTCCAAACGCACCTGGGAATACGACGTGCCGGATATCTCCATCATGGGGGTGGAAGACAAGCAGATGCCAGAGATGCCAAACCTTGAGTCTGTTTTGGGAAATTCTTTACAAAATGTAAGAACAAACATCACAGCTGAATCCCGAAATTCACCAAACTATATATTTTTTTTAAAACATCAGTCAAACAGAAGAGGCCGTGTGATTGAAGGCTGGTGAGTGTTTCTGGTCACAGCCCAGAATTCACTCCTAATTGGTTTGAGGAAACTTCTTACCTCACAGCCTGATGAACCACCAGTTCCACCAGTGTGGTTTACAGAAACAATATTTAATTTACCAACCCTTTCTTTGGTACTGCAGTCCTGTCTGGAAACGCAGCAATGTCTCAATTTAAAACAAATGCAAAATTTAGGGAAAGGCTCCTCCTGTGCAGGGAAATAAGGGTTTACATGAAAAGATGAACTTAAGTCTCTTTGTTTAACGTTAACTTGTCTCATTCACCTCCAGAGAAGTGCCAAAATGCTGAAGAAGGCTAACGAGCATGAGAAGATGACCAAGGAGCTCACTGTCAACCGACTGGAGCTGGACGGACCCACCCAGGAGTTCAGCTTTGGGACACCTCGCATGAGGATGTACGACCAAGAGCCCAGCACCCCGGAGATGCCAGACCTCAGCTCCATTACACAAGACATCTGTAAAGTGAGTCCTGTTTATGATCAGCTGATTAACTACAGATACTGTGGTGCTGACAGCTTTCTGCACTTTAAGGTTTTAGTGCAGGATTCACTTGTGGTTTTATCTTATACCTGTATGGTTAAAAAAACAACTTGGCTTTAAATTTGTTTGACATATGATCCAGAAAATTATGTCAAATTTGACCATACTTTGTTTTTTCACTCATGATTTTTCTTTTATTTTGCAGCTTGTGTCTCAGGCTCAGCTGAAGAAGACGGCCATGGCTGTCGTGCACCCAAACGTCAGGCCAGAAAATGTTAAAAGCAGGTGAAGTAACTCAACTACTCAATCTAAAGTTGCAGACAAGACAAGATCAGACTGCTTCTGAGTAGCAGAAAAAAAAAGTGGTATCGTTTGTGTTTATACGTGTTTATAGGATGGTTAGTTTTGTCTGTTTCTAATAATGATTGATGTTTATTTTAAGCCTTCCTGTTACCATTCATGCTACTCTTCTTAAATCAATATTTTAACTGTACCACGTCCTCTTCTCAGAGCTGTGAGTCTGTCTGTGGTGTCGGAGAGCGAGTTCAGGAGTTTACCCAGCTACCTGAGGCAGATGACTCTACAGAGCCTCAACCAGGCGGTCAACAGCATCAACAAATTCTTGGCAGAGAGTCCAGGTCAGTGCTACACTACACTAAGGGTCAAACTTAACGTGCTTTCACACCTAACCGGTTTAGTTTGGTTTAAACAAACTCAGGTCTGTTTGTGCGGTTAGTACAGTTCATTTGGGCTGGTGTGTAAGCTGCCAGTCGAACCCTGGTGCGGACCAAACAACCAAACTGAGACTTCGGTCTGCTTACAAGTGGACTTTGGTGCAGTTTGTTTGTGGTGTGAAAGAAAAAGAACCAACCACAGGATTTTTTGATGGCATCCATCCATCCATCCATCCATCCATCCATTTTCATCAACTTATCCAGGGCCGGGTCGCGGGGGCGGCAGGCCAAGCAAAGCACCCCAGACGCCCCTCTCCCCAGCAATGTGGTGAGGGTGATAGGTGAGGGTTGGGACGTAGATGGACCAGTAATCAAAAGATTCTCCTTCCAGCTCAGCTCCCTTTTCACCATATTCAACTATATATCTTTAAATGTTACAGTTAGGGCTGAAAATGATAACAGAAATCAACAAGGTTACCAGATTTACATATCTTCGTTATTGTAATCAACTGCCAGATTTCTACCCAAAACTGATTGTTGTTGCCAGCGTGACGTCATGGTGATTCGGTCTATGTACTGGCAAGACACCACAGTTAACAAAACAAAGTTATTCCTCCAGTTTAAGTACATAAAACAAATCAGAAATTTGGTTTGGTTTTGGTTTTATCGTAGCAGTATACTGGCAAACGATTACATAAACAAGAAGTACAAATAAAACAAGAACATGGTTCTTAGAGCACTGTTTGGAGTCAGCAGCTGTTGGATGCTTCTAATCGGTAGCTGCGATCTGTGTTTCCCTCTGCAGGAGAACAGACAGAGTTTCAGATGGAGGAGCTGAGGAGGATTTGCAGCGTGGGAACCAAGATGCCCGTATACATCCTCTGTCTGACCGAGCTCAAGAGGCTGACGCACACAGGAGGAGCCAGGAACACCTCGGTGTACAAGTTAAACACACACAACTGAAGGGCTGCGGGGATATATTACACTTTGTCCCGTCTAGGTTTCTGCATCTCCACAAGTCTGGGATTTAAACCTGTAACCTACTTTGCTTCCTGTTTTGTTTATAACACGCTGTAGGTGTCTTCATGTGCACATTTTGCTCTGGATATCAGACACCTGCTGGGTTTCACTGCAGGTCCACCTGTTGAAATACAGTAGTGTTTGTTTATAGGATTTTGTCACCCTCATGTGGACGGAGACGAGAACTGCATGCAGTTAGGAAATGTTTTAGTCTGCTGCTTTTTCTGTCTTCTTTGCTGTTTATGTTACATCATTTCTTTTTCACTTTGTCCCTGTTGTCATGCTCAAATCCGACCCCTTTTGTCTCCCCTGCCTGTTGTCTTTTTTCTTAATGAGGAAACCAACCTCATCCCAACTCACAAGAACCTGCTTGTACGTCCATCTTTAATTGGCGGAGATGCTGGACTCTTATGCTTCTGTCAATATACACTTTAACTACACTAGAGAAAGCAGGCTTGGTGACTTTTGTGTCTAGATTGTAAATAGTTTTGATGCATGGGTAGGCAATAATTTGCACTTCTGTGGTTTTGTCTTGGATAGAAACTCTGTATATAATAAAGTTACTGCACATGATAAGGAAATGAGCTCCCTAAAGACTATTAATGAAGCAGCATATAAGAAAGAGCATATTTCAGTTTTTAAAGGGAAGTTCTGTGATTTACAATATGCCAAGTACCCCTCTGTGGTCCCAGTTGATGTCCAGTGACAGGGCTCGAAATTTGAGCAGTGCATGTGATTCTCCGCTCTACATGCACCAGTGCATGCTGCAAGTTTATGTAGCCTTACCCAGCAACTCACTACACAGGACACACCTCCTCATATGGGATTTAAGTACTCTTTCTATGTTTTTTTTTTTTTTTTTGATAAATATTTTAACAATAAAAAATTAATCTTTTTTCCTTCAATAACTTCCAGTGTTACATTTAGTGTCACTCATGTTCACAAACATCACTGAACGCTGCTGTCATCATAGGAAGCTGGTAATGGAAGTGTAGAGGTTGATATTGAGTCTGTAAGGCAAAGCAAGGCATCTTTATTTTGTATAGCACATTTCAGAGAAATGAAGAAATAAAGAGGAAAAAATTATAAAAGGTAAAATTAATTCTAAATAATTCACAATTTTAAAAAGAAATCATTAAAAATTGCAAAAGTGCAGATAAGAGGTGCAAACAAAAACAAATGATTTAAGATGGAGTTTAATAAAGTTGCAGTGCAGTTGAAATCAATTAAGTGTGTGAATAATAACATTTACATATGATGGACACATGTAATATAAATATGCATAATGTAATATGAATTAACAATTAATATGAATAAATATTCATATGCAATAGAAAAGAAGTCTTACCATGATTTTTATTACCCATATTCGGTTTGCTTAGAAGCTGCTCAAAATGTTCCAATGACTATATAAAATTTAAAGTAGTTTTACTGCACATTACTGTAACTTTGGTGGCAAAATTGTTAATAACGAGGGCTAAATGTACCAAATGGTGCAGGTAAAAAAATGGTGCATGCAATTTTAAAAGTCACCAGTACATGTACACAGAAAGAAGTACCCTGACACAATATGTGAGATCACATAAACATGCAAAAGGGACTTTGAAGCGGCACATGTTTTATACCTTTACAACAGCTCAATCCTGGATTTGTCCTGATTTCGGCTTATTAAAAAGAATAAGAATAAATTGAATAATGAGTATTTTATGGCTTAAAGTTCTTGCAGAGGTTGATGATTTGGCAATGGGGACTTACTAAAGTTGGACACAAGTACCTAAAAAGCTCAGTAAAGTTACTGCCATTTTTTTTTAATGTGAATTATTCTGTCTTTACGTGGTAAAGGAGACATTTGTGTTTCATTTTAGCAATTTAATATAAATATTTAAGGCATTTAAAAGGGGAAAGTGTGGCAACACAAACGTTGCTACACACAGTAATGATACTCCGGACCGTTAGCTTGTTGGAGCAGCGCGTGAGTAAAGATCGAATTTCAGTGACGTAAACGAACACGAGCCAATCAGATCGGCGAATGCAAACGGCCGTTGATGACGCAGCTACAGTTTTTTTTATTTTTTTCCCAGCCTCTCTGGTCGGCCACCATTTTGGGAGTCAAAACAGGCAACAAACAGCAGCGCACACCTCCACGCTTCTCCCGTGGCCTTACTATGGTTCACACCTGTGTGGTGGCCGGCTGTAGGAACAGAAGGACACCGGGCACCACCTTATCTTTCTACCGCTTCCCCCGGGACCCCGACAGGAAGCAGCGCTGGATAGCTGCCGTGAACCGAGAGGGCTGGGTGCCCAACGACGGCAGTCGGCTGTGTAGTACTCACTTCATCTCAGGTATGACTGCAACACAACACGGAAACACAAACTATCCCACGGGTTGTTTTCTACCAGCTCACATTAAGGCTGCAGGAATTACACACGGGAGCCTGGAGGGGTCAAAATACTGTTTGTCATGTCAGCGGATTATTGATGTTTCTGAACATGTCTGCTTTTATCACATTTAGTGGGTATCAATCATATTTGACGTTATCACAGTGTGACACACTTGATGTAGGCACTGATGTAATTATTTTCTAAACTATGAAGCTATGCCATTATCGATTAATCTATCAAGATTTTGATTAGTCAGTAGTCAGTGATGGAAGATCATAGTCTAAAAATACTCCACTACAAGTAAAAGTCCTGAACTCAAAAGTATTACATAAAGTAAAAGTACATAGGCTAAGTGTTATCAGCAAAGTTACAGTAGTATATATAGTGTAGTGAAGGTAAACGCACACATGTGGAGTCATAGCTGTAGATTTAGGGGGGACACGCCCCCTCAATAGGTAGGATACTGCATTTGTGTAGTGGAGTAAAAGAACAACATGTGCCTCTGAAATGTAGTGGAGTCATAGGTGTAGATTTCGGGGGTGAGACTCAGGGGACACGCCCCCTCAGTATTTAGTACATGTGCATGTGTCCCTCCCACTAAATACATCAAAGTAGCAGAGGACTTTTATTTTGATAAAAGACATAAACACCATAAAGTGGTTCATAAGAGGCACAAACTGGTGCAGAAAAATAAGTCAGTGCAGGAAATTAGGTGTTTGGTGTGTTAAATTTTATGGCAGAGGACCTCAAAACCCAGTGTTTCATATGTATCCCATCATCATATAAGTCTTTTAATGTAAAAGGTAACGAGAGGCCATCTGTAAGTGTCAAAAAAAAAAAAAGAGTAGTGGAGTAAAACGTACAATGTGTGCTTCTGAAATGTAGTGGAGTCTAGGTATACACAAGGGACACGCCCCCTCAATATTCAGTACATGTGCATTTGTCCCTCTTATTAACTATATTAAAGTAGCAGAGGACTTTTATTTTGATAAAAGACACTTACACTATAAATTGGTTCAGAAAAGGCAAAAATTGATGCAGAAAAATTCATAGATGTAGAAAAAAGTAAGTAGAGGCCAACTGTAAGAGTCAAACTAAGTGCAGTGGAGTAAAACGTACAATATGTGCCTCTGAAGTGGAGGAGAGTCATAGGTGTAGATTTTGTGAGGGAGGCTGCACTGCGGACATGCTCCCTCAATATTTAGTACATTGCATTTGTACCTTCCACTAAATTCATTTACGTAACAGAACACTTATTTTTACAAAAACATTTACACCATAAATTGATGGCAGAAATATTCATCAGGGTGCAGGAAATTGGGTGTTTGATGCTCAAAGTTTTATGGCAGAGCACCCCAAAACCCACTGTTTGATATGACTTGCTTGTTATCTCTGTAAATTCATGCTCATGTATAGTAACGGGAGCTCTAATTTACTATCAGAACACTCACACCCAGAATAAACCTCATTAGACAGATCCTAATCCTCAACCTAAATCTGCTGCTCTTTGAACTGTTATCAAGCTGCTCTCTTTGCTGTACCAGCTCAAGCAGGGGGGAAACATGGCTGCTTACCCATGACAATTGTCCTCAAACTCAACTGACTAAAATAGACTGTGATTGGAGAAAGTGTCCTAAACAGACAATTCCTAGTTTTCTGTATTCATTTCAGGTTTCAGGGTGTTTGCAGATCCTAAAACAGGCTTAATATGTCTTTAAGTTGTATAAAATCAGGCCTTAAAAGCCATTAAATAGCCTCATATTTTAATATGTGCAGTCTTAATTGCCACAAATGTTTTATCTAGATTCATTTTCTGTCTTAAATTTCTTTTTGTTAAAATGTGTCAAGCTCTTTTGCGTAAAAGTCCACATTTCTGATATTACAAATCTTTAAACCTACCACTGAACCTAATACTGTCTATTTACTTTATACTTGCACTTACCTGTTGGGAAATATAGATTGCCATAACTCAATCTCAATTATTTACCATCCCTGTTATATGGTGGCTGGTCTCATACTCTGCTCAGAGTGTAAGGAGCTCCTTGACCTCATTGTTTTCCCAATTTGTAGACATTTACAGCCACTGTTGTTCTCATTTGAGTTATCTGCTAACTGCTAACAGCTACTTTTTAAATCTCCCATGGTGGGTTGGACACTTTACATGTCGTCAAAATGTCACACCCGTTTCGGCCATCATGTCCCGGTCCTGTTTATACAGACACCATTTCAGCACTGTTACTACCTCCCGTGGCTGCTTAAAGGCAGGACCACTCGGTTCCCTCTGTTATGCTATCGTACCTTATATACAGCACAGCACAGCAAGCGTGACATTCCTGCCTTGAACAGGAAGTGTAAATGGGGCTTATGAGTGTCTGATACCTGTAGACACCCTTGGTTTTTCACCCTCCCTTTTACTACATCCTCTTTTTCCACATGCAGGTAAACAGGTGAAGAATCCACGTTCGCCAGATTATGTTCCTTCTGTCTTCACCTCAGCTCCCTTATCTCCAGAGATGAAGGAGCCAGGTGCCTTGGAGATCCTGGACAAGCAGGAAGCACGCGTGGAGGCAGCCAATGCCCTGCTGTTCCTGCAGGGCCAGGGCAGGTCTGTGGCGGGGGAGCGGGGCCAGGAAGAGCATCCAGAGGAGCAGGAGCAGGAGGCCGCTGTGGTGGAAAGTGCGTCCCCTTCCGCCAGCACAGATGAGGATGACGACGACGATGATGATGATGGATCTATGAGTGAAAGCAAGAGAGGAAAGTTCGCTCAGGCGTCTGATGTTAACTTTGAGGACGTCCTGAAAGCCTTGAAGAAGGAGAACCAGACCCTCCGGGAGTCTGTGGACAAAATGTCCCTCTCTGAGAACTCCTTGAGGAACGATGCAGAGAAGGTAAAGTTCTACACTGGCTTACCAAACTACTTTGTCCTGGAGACGGTCATGTGGCTGCTGGCGCCGCACATGGACGGGATGAAAACTGTGAAGCTCTCCAAGTTCCAGCAGCTGCTGCTGACGCTGATGCGTCTCCGTCTGGACCTCCGCAACCAGGACCTGGCCTACCGCTTTGGAGTTAAAGTTGGCACGGTAACCAGAACAGTGCACCAGATGGTCAACATCATGTCCTCCACTCTGGTGCCGACAGCTGTCTTCTGGCCTTCTAGAGCCGAGCTGCGGAAAAACCTGCCGGCAGCTCTGCGCACCTCCCACCCCGACTGCGCTGTCATCATAGACTATTTCATGGTGCCTTTTGAGGGGCCGGTCTCCCGGGGCAACCAGCAGCAGCAGCAGAGGGCAGTGCCAAGCTCTCAGGGGGTGGGGACAAGTCATAATGTATTAAAGTATCTGATCGGTGTGGCCCCGCAAGGTGTCGTCACCTTCGTCTCCAGGGGCGTGCTGGGAAATGTCAGTGACAAAAGCCTGGCTGAGGGCTGCGGCTTTCTGTGCAAGCTCCTCCCAGGCGATGTCGTATTGGCGAGTCGTGACCTCGACATCGCCGATTCTGTGGCCGCCAGAGGAGCTCTGTTCAAAATCGCTGGCAGCTACCAAGCAGAGGCGCAGGGGAGCTCAGAGTGTTTGCCGCCGGCTGATGCTTCCTCTGAGACAGTGAGCGTGCAGAGACATGTGGAGAGGGTGATCTCCATGGTGAAGCAGAGGTACGCCATGCTCACAGGCCCAGTCGAGAGCCCCTTCACCACGGTCTCTGAGCGCACGTCGAACCTCTCAACCTTTGATAAGATTGTGCAAGTCGCCTGTGCCTTAAACAATCTGTGCATCTCTGCTGCTCCACTAGAGTGATTCGTACACTTAGTGCTCCTTAATGCTGGTCACTTACGTTCCCTTTACTGCTTCGGATCTTACTCCACGTTCCCCACTGCATCCCAGTGTCAACACTACATGTTCACTATAGACAACTGATTTCTAACTATACACCTTAGTTTACACTTTCAGTGGATGTGACTCCCTGTTATCCAAAAACCACGTTGCCAGGATGTCATGTCATTAAAGGGCTAGTTCAGATTTTTTGAAGTGGGGTTGTATGAGGTACTTAACCACAGTCAGTGTGTTACATAACATTGATATCAGTCGGCACACCCCCTGTTTGGAGAAGCAGGCTGGAGTTGGACACAGAAGCTAAGCGATGTTCTGCTGTGGAAGTATTTTAGTCACCCCAAAAAATCGTTGCTGGTCCAACGCTGCCTCGGTCGGTGACTCTGGCGTTTTAAGTGGTTAGTTTGGATTCACCAAAGACACAAAATAACACAAACTAACTAAAGTTACTGTTTTGCCAGCAGAGTCAACCCAGTCTCACTCTGAAGTCGTTGAAATCTGGCGCTCAGGCAGTGTCTTGTGGCGTCAGACACTGACGAAAAAAGCTGGTTGCTGTTAAAGTTTAACAGCGCATGGTGGCATCAGGGGGAAATGCAGCGTGACAAGAACAAATGTTAAGGCGGCGAAAGTCCAAAAATTGAGTGTTTCTCACTGGATTTTGCTTTTGCCTGGATGTAAAAGTCTCTGAAAGAGATTACACACCATCCTCGGGACATAAAAACTCTCCAATGACACAGTTATCTTCGGGGTAACAGTAGCAGGATGAAAACTATGCTAGTAGCTCTGTGGGGCTGAACTTGTGGGGCACAGCTGTGCTTTGAGCTAAATGCTCCAAATGGTTACATGCTGATGTTTATCAGGTATAATATCAACCATGTTCACCATCTTATTTTAGCCTGTTAGCATGAAAACATTTGCTAATTGGCAGCCCTTGAAAAGCTCCAGTGAATGGTCCCTCGCCAAATTTGCTTTAATCAAAATCAATGCATAAATGTAAACTGACTGAGAGACATGAGGGCTGCATAGTAGGGATGCACGATATTGGATTTTTTTGCCGATATTCAATATGCCAATATGTAACAACGGGCAGGAGGGGTGGTGGACGGGTCCAAAAAACACTGACCTTAACCCAGGAGAGTGGTGTTCGCATTCTGTAAGATTATAAAGCCAAATCCTGTTCTTTTTTCCTAAACCTTACTAGGTGTGTTAGATGTTGGAAGAAAAAAAACATCAATTCACGCTGTTGTACCAACACAGTGCTTTTATTTTGAAAGAGACTGCATGTAACCAGCAAATTTCTATGAAGTGTATTTTGAAAGAAGACAACGCATTCAACTGGTAGAACTTGACACGGTGTCCCAGAACGTCAACAACCAACACACCCAGGGTACCTTACACGTCTTATGTAGACTTTGAAAGTCCATGACCAAATGTCGATATGTGACAAGACCGGAGTGAGAATGCGTTGGTGGAGTCTGGTGGCTTTGACAAGAGTAGAGCTGTGGAACTTAGGCCGTGATGGCGAGTTAAAGCAGTGAAAATATTCTAAATGTAGTGTAGACTCAGCAGTACGTGTCAGCTTCTGTGGACTACTCCTGCCTGCTTTTCCAAGCTTGGTGGCGTGCTAACAGATCTACTTCATGTAATACAGCAACTATGGATAAGTACTTCATACAGCCCCACTTCAAAAGATCTGTACTATCCCTTTAACTTATGCAACTCAACTGACAGAGAATGGCAAGCTTGCAAAAGGTGTTACATTTTCATTTAGGCTTTGAATGACAGATGTGTGAGTAAAAAGTACTTTTAAATGTATCCTCAATAGCCATTTGTAAATATGAGGTATGTAAAGTTATGTCTGGGTGGTGCAGGCAATGTTCCGTCATATCCAATCCTGTGCAATGCAACAGTCTGTGTCATCCCTGACAAATACTACAGCAGCTGAATTTACTGATTGATCCCTCGCTGTGTTGCAGAAAGTTGGTCAAACAAGCTGCTTTGTTGCCTCCCTGCTTATAAAACAGGCTGAAATAACGAGCAGCATGGACAGTAATGCAGCCCGCTCCCTGTGCAGCAATAGAAACATGTCATAGCTAATGAGCTTTGAGGGCTTACTTTTTTCACTTTTTGTTTTTGCCTACCAGCCAGATTTTACAACAATAGAATACAATCACTACGGGATGATTAGCTACCTGTTAGCGCAGACAAACAAACCACCCATGGACCAGTTCACCACCATATGGCCGGAGTCTGGTGTTAATTTATCTGCTGCAGAAACAGCTCATTGTCGGGGGTTTTCCAACAATAGCTTCCAGGTTGGCTGCACATCTTGGGAGACCAGAAGGCTCTGCTGGTACTGATAACTGTTTCTCACAGTATAAACTGCTGGGTGGTAAAATAACTGACCAAGAAGATGAACAGTTTTTACCACAGGTCAGGATTGAGTACAGTACAACACTCATGGATTGGCACACCAGGTTGATGCTCGTCCATTCAGTGACTATGTTACTAACAATGATGTCAGTATTCACCACACAAATGTTTCAATATGTTCTGCCAGTATAATTTAAGGCTACTTATTTAATACAGAGCTTGAGATTTCTATAAAAACATTCTTTATGCTGGTGAGGAAGAAAAGATTACAGCTGGTAATTTTCTATGAGTATATATTAGTTTAACATCGCCTAAAATTAACCACCATATGTGCACCATATGCACAGGATTCAACATATTATAAAGCAATCACTCACACAGCCTGCAACTAAGTGTGAGGGTATGTATGATACGGAGGACAGAAGATGCCAAATCAATAATAAATAAATAAATGGCTCAATGAATACATGAATATACCATTACATGTACCAAAAATAATATTATAAATTAATGTAGATATAAGATAATTTATTCAGTGTGACTTTTTTATTATTGTATTGATTCCCTGAGGTATTTGCTTTCCTATTTAATTTTCCTGTTTATTTATTTAGATATTGATATACAATTTTAAATGCATTTATTTATTTATGGATTATTTTTCCTTTTGGATATCCACTTTTTATTTCCCCCAAATTATTTATTTTTGTACAGTACAGGCCAAAAGTTTGGACACACCTTCTCATTCAATGCGTTTTCTTTATTTTCATGACTATTTACATTGTAGATTCTCACTGAAGGCATCAAAACTATGAATGAACACATGTGGAGTTATGTACTTAACAAAAAAAGGTGAAATAACTGAAAACATGTTTTATATTCTAGTTTCTTCAAAATAGCCACCCTTTGCTCTGATTACTGCTTTGCACACTCTTGGCATTCTCTCCATGAGCTTCAAGAGGTAGTCACCTGAAATGGTTTCCACTTCACAGGTGTGCCTTATCAGGGTTAATTAGTGGAATTTCTTGCTTTATCAATGGGGTTGGGACCATCAGTTGTGTTGTGCAGAAGTCAGGTTAATACACAGCCGACAGCCCTATTGGACAACTGTTAAAATTCAAAAACGAGTGGCCATCATTACTTTAAGAAATGAAGGTCAGTCAGTCCGGAAAATTGCAAAAACTTTAAATGTGTCCCCAAGTGGAGTCGCAAAAACCATCAAGCGCTACAATGAAACTGGCACACATGAGGACCGACCCAGGAAAGGAAGACCAAGAGTCACCTCTGCTTCTGAGGATAAGTTCATCCGAGTCACCAGCCTCAGAAATAGCAAGTTAACAGCAGCTCAGATCAGAGACCAGATGAATGCCACACAGAGTTCTAGCAGCAGACCCATCTCTAGAACAACTGTTAAGAGGAGACTGCGAAAATCAGGCCTTCATGGTCAAATAGCTGCTAGGAAACCACTGCTAAGGAGAGGCAACAAGCAGAAGAGATTTGTTTGGGCCAAGAAACACAAGGAATGGACATTAGACCAGTGGAAATCTGTGCTTTGGTCTGATGAGTCCAAATTTGAGATCTTTGGTTCCAACCGCCGTGTCTTTGTGAGACGCAGAAAAGGTGAACGGATGGATTCCACATGCCTGGTTCCCACTGTGAAGCATGGAGGAGGAGGTGTGATGGTGTGGGGGTGTTTTGCTGGTGACACTGTTGGGGATTTATTCAAAATTGAAGGCACACTGAACCAGCATGGCTACCACAGCATCCTGCAGCGACATGCCATCCCATCCGGTTTGCGTTTAGTTGGACGATCATTTATATTTCAACAGGACAATGACCCCAAACACACCTCCAGGCTGTGTAAGGGCTATTTGACCAAGAAGGAGAGTGATGGAGTGCTGCGGCAGATGACCTGGCCTCCACAGTCACCGGCCCTGAACCCAATCGAGATGGTTTGGGGTGAGCTGGACCGCAGAGTGAAGGCAAAGGGGCCAACAAGTGCTAAACACCTCTGGGAACTCCTTCAAGACTGTTGGAAAACCATTTCAGGTGACTACCTCTTGAAGCTCATGGAGAGAATGCCAAGAGTGTGCAAAGCAGTAATCAGAGCAAAGGGTGGCTATTTTGAAGAAACTAGAATATAAAACATGTTTTCAGTTATTTCACCTTTTATTGTTAAGTACATAACTCCACATGTGTTCATTCATAGTTTTGATGCCTTCAGTGAGAATCTACAATGTAAATAGTCATGAAAATGAAGAAAACGCATTGAATGAGAAGGTGTGTCCAAACTTTTGGCCTGTACTGTATATATATATATATATATATATATTTTTTATATATATATATATATATACATTTGAGGACTGCTGCCTTGTTTTGCAACAGTGGGGAACAGTTTTGGGAAAATAAATAGGGGTGGATGCAAAGAAAAAATAATAAATAAACAAATTGAAAAATTTTAAATTTAAAAATAAATGCAAAAAATTAATTATTAAAAAAATAATAATAAATATGTAATGGAAAATTAGATAGGAAAGTAAATGTGTATGGGGAAATGAAAACAAATGTAATTAGATAAAGAGGCAAATTAAAACAGAAATGTCTATTTATGTCACATATTAATAATTTATGTCTAAATTTATTTTTCAAAATTCTTAGTGCATTTAAAAGCCTATATTTACTTTTTGAATTTATAAAGTAATTTATATATTTATTATTGATTTTGGCAACTTCCATCCTCCGTACTAGGTAGGGAGGATGGTTTAAATGGGATGGTTTTGGGGGTTTAATTGTGCATTTAATTGCGTGTTGACATCATAGAATCAGTGACAATAATGTGACTCGAGCTTGAGAAAGATATAAAAGATTTTTTTTCACAGACACTGAAGTGTTAATGAGGTTTAATTTACACTTTGTTCAGCTGCGCATGTCTCTTGGAGAATGTACATTTAATTTGTGACGCTTTAATTCTCATCTGCTTTGTTCTTTGTGTTCTGTTGTAACTGACTGTTAAAGTTTGGACCATGAGCACACACCACAGAGGTGTTTCAGTCAGCTACAGTAAGACGGTAGAGGCTGTTATCCAGATATGAAAATGCTTTTTTAACGTTGTTAATCATTTGTCTAATCAAGCTCATACTTAAGCTCGCATGTTGTCACAGAAACATTAATCACTTGCGTAAAATATGACCCTGCTTATTGAAAAGCATCTTGTTGTCCTGCATTGCTGGTGCCTTAGTTTGTAAAGCTGGTACTGCTGATACAAATTAGCTGTGTTTTCTACAAATATTTATTTTTGCATAGTACGATATGCTTTAGATCCTTCTCCTGTTACTAAGCTAAATGTGCATCAACTGTCCCTTATTATTAATCACTATGTGTGTACAGTTAGCGTTACCATTTATGTTTATGTTTATGTTTCCTGCTCGTCACTCTTTTACCATTTAAAGTGTACAAACTCAAAATGATGTCAAGTCATTGGGAAGCTTCTTCCAGTCCTATAGCAGTGTGTGGTTCAGATAGGCACGCTATGGTAGCCCAAAGTGGAATGTGCCTTCTCGGATGTTCCCTCCCATGGACGGCTCTATGTCTCCTGACCAGTCGTGTTTTACATATGCTTGTAATGTTTGCTGTTTGTGGCTCCTGAAGAACATCAGACTGACTGTATGTTTACTCTGTGGTTTATTTTTGTTGTTTATGTTGGTGAGTG